TGTGGAAAATAATGTGTTTTTTGAACCTTAAACCGCATAAACACATTTCATTACACCAAATAATGTTCTTTTTAGCAACGTCATATGACCCCTTTAAAGTGGCATTAATTTATATCATAATAGATAGTGTTTCAGTCAAGTTAAGATTAATATAAATAAGTAAGTAAATAATACGCTCATGGAATCAGTTCCTCCTTTTGTAAGCTAATGTTAATATTGATAGACCAATTCTATTTTGAGCTATGTGTAAATTTAAGAAAATATAAGAAATAGGGGCTTTACAGACAAAAATTTGCACTTATGTATAAAAATTGTATTATGAAATCGCAACGGTCGCTAGCGGTCGCTCAGACGTCATATTTTGGCGACGGTCTTTTGAGTAGGAGTTTAGTGCTGTTGTCGGTTCTGTTGTGATAGCAGTAGCATCTCTGGTGGTCGTTACGTTTCTCCGTGTTTCTGTGTTTTTCGAGCAGCTGAACTGGATCATGTTGTCATGTTGGACAGCTCCACAAAAACATTTAAAAAAATAAACCCACCTGCCAAAATGAGGAAGTCGCATTTCATAACACTCTCATAGCACTTCCTCATCAGTAAACTCCTCTGATCGGTGACATTCAGCATATGTTCTCTAATCAGTGATATTTAGTGTGTTTGGGCAGGTTTTCTCGGGAACTGGATTTGTTTTAAAGCATCAGAGATGTTAAATGTACCATCTCAGTCTTTTCCGGCAGCTGGATCCCAGCAGAGAGTCGCACCAACCGGACAGTCCAGAAATAAGGTTGGTCCCTTGAACTACATTATTGTCATAGGAATAATACAATGAGTGGTTTAAATGCATAGCTAAACGAGACGGCTCTATATTTACCGTTCAGCTGTCCCTGTGTGTACAGCACTGTATGTTTACTGCTGTGTTTAATGAGTACAGGTGGCGCTACAGCCGGGTCACAGTCTCTTGGACTGGATCAGACTGACCAAGAGTGGACGTGATCTGACTGGACTGAGAGGTCGACTGATTGAGGTGACGGAAGACGAGCTAAAGAAACACAACACCAGAAACGACTGCTGGACCTGCATTAGAGGTAAAACATCAAAATACACATCATGAACTCAACTCATCTCAGTAAAGTTTATGTCCATGGTCAGTGTTGCCAACCCCCCCCCTGAAAAAACCAGTGTTATATGCTGGTTAGGTATGTTTTGATGCTGGTTTAAGCTGGTCCTTTGCTGGTTTATGCTGGTCATGTGCTGGCAAAGGACCAGGTTAAACCAGCAAAGGATCAGCGTAAACCAGCAAAAGGATCAGCGTAAACCAGCAAAAGGATCAGCGTAAACCAGCAAAAGGACCAGCGTAAACCAGCAAAAGGATCAGCGTAAACCAGCAAAAGGATCAGCGTAAACCAGCAAAAGGATCAGCGTAAACCATCAAAAGGACCAGCGTAAACCAGCAAAAGGACCAGCGTAAACCAGCAAAAGGATCAGCGTAAACCATCCTGCTCAAATACAACAGATAAGAGATATTATGATTCTCCAAAAACTTTATTCATACAAACTTATTTCAGTCAACACACTCTATTACTACAAAGTAAGTGCAAAATATTGCATCCCAGCACACATGATACGATGATGCACTGTGTCTGTCTCTCAGTATCTGGTTGACATGACTGTGCATGAATTGGGGTATAACTTTTGTGTCCGTGGTTAAAACAAGATGTTAATTTTTTTTCTCCGGCATCTTGATTGATGCTTATAATGAAATTGTGGTGTGCGTCATGGCAGGCGTGGCGTACTGGTGTGTTCACTGCGCAGACGCATTGGCATGATTGAGAGCAAATGTAAGCGGTCACGGGCCTACGGCAGGGTGTGGCCAAGCAAAAAATAAAAAATCTCCAAAAAAAATCGCTAGTTTTATTTAAATATAGCTAAAATAGCTCCTTGTCGCAAAAAAAAAAAAAAAGTCGCAGCTACACTGAGAAAGTAGCTAAATTTGGCGACAAAATCCCCAAATTGGCAACACTGTCCATGGTCTATGCATACTGAGGTGAATTTAAAGGGTCATGAAACCCCCAGACTACTTTTTTCTGAGATTTTAGCAGAGGTGTTTGTGTTGCACATCATAGAAGACAATGTTAGCATCCAACTGTTGGAGAAAAGTGGTTAATTTTAAGCTTTTTTTGCGCTATTTTCATCTTCTGGGTTTAAAATCTACATCGTGTTGACGTCACAATTTGTGACGTAGCAGTGGACTATAGTACATCGATGACGAGTCGGTGTCTATTAAATTATTCATGAGACTGAGTGTTCTTATCCTATGAGAAGACGCTTCGCTTAATTATTCACAACAGCATGTGTTGATTTGCTATAACAGATGTTTCAGAGTCTGTGAGATGACATCGTGCACAATAACTGAGAGAAACGTTTATAGATCGAAGAAGAGGTGTTTGTTTTTGCTTTGTAATAAGAGTTCGGCACAACCGCGATTCATTCACTTGGTGAGCAAAACCGTTTTTACAGCTCTGTGTAGGTCTGTCGCAATAATCAATATATCGAGCCACAGAATAAGCCTTAAAAGTTCCCTCAATCATTTTTTGTGATTTTTCCTTGTTCCCGGTGTTAAATAAAACATGCTGGATAATGAAGGAAAGGTAATGCATTTTAATTGCCATTTACATTAGTGGTGAAGGTGATTATCAACACAAGTAAAGCAAATCCAAATGATCAAACATGTTCAAAAGGGACATGCAATTTGCCATTGATGATATTGTTCAGTGACAAAGCATGGAAACAGTTTCACATCTTCAAAAGAATATAGCTTGCTAAGAGCATAACATTTTTAACCTGCTCTTTTCAAGTGGAACATGGAAGAGGGTGGTGTATGCATTTTGAATGAGTTCATGCATTGAAAAATATGCCTTATATGAATATGCCTTGTCGTTAGGCCTGTCGCATTAATCAATATATCGACTTATCGCGCAATATATGTATGTTACCTCAATAATTTTTGTGACGCAATATATCGCCCATTATATTTACTTAAAAATTAATGTTACTATGTTTTGTACATTCCACTTGCGCCTGTGTCTTTTGCAGCTTCTCGTACATAACGTGGTGTAGTCATGAGGTGCTAGTTCAATAAAAAAAAATGCTTCTACAAAAAAAGTATATATCTGTATATCTGCAGATATGGTCTTGTTTAGGGATCTGTGCCTTTGTGCATATGGACATCTGA